TTCTTGACGGATCCTGCTCATCTTCGAACTCGACCGAGACATTGTTAAGACTGAACTGTGTAGAAAATTTCATCGTGATCGGACTCTCCTTTCGAAAGTTATCGTGTAAACGGCCGGACGGAAGGACGGACATACTGACCGATTCTAGAGTGTACTCACTGTTTGAGTACACAAAAACATCAAATCTTTCATACTGAATTTCAGTTGTAGCTTAACCGAATGAAGAAGCAGCATTTGTACGCATTCGATCAAAATTTTTATCGTCAATCTAAAGAATAAAATACCAATTTAAATATTATTATCGTTAAAAATTCAATAATAAGAGTTATCGAATCAATTTCATGTCAAATTCTTTTTGTATCGTATCATAAGCAATCAAAACAAATTAGTTCTTCAATGCAGTTCTCTGAAATATTTTTCGCATGTTTTTGTAATGTATATAATTATTTCATACGGGTTTGCGACATATTTCACCATTATCATCAATAGTGGAAAAAATTAAATGTATTATCATTAGTAATAGAATACAATTTAGCTCATAGATTAGATATTTTTTCAAGATATCCTTGGGAACTCAATTAAGTACTAACATAGGAGATATTGGAAATATAGGGTGTAGTTGTGATCGCGTGAGCCCATGCAATATCTCCTTCGTTCGTATTTATTTGAGTTTTCTGGAATACTCATAGAAGACATCATATGGGCTTATAACAAGAATGAAGCCCAGTATCAGACGTATAGAATCTGCTCGTGTGTGTGTGTCCATGCACATGAGAGAAACTTTTGGAAAATTATTGGTTATAGAAAAGTTTTCTTTAAATGGAAAAAGTTTTTCTTTTGTGGAAATTAGGACATGAAGTTCGTGCACAGGTTGTGTGATGTATTTGCCAATAGAGAATAGTGCAACTGAGTTTTTTTTTGTATCTGTTATCAATTGATACATGTATCTTTCGATACGCTCATGTCCGGATTCACTTGTGCTAAAATGTTTTCGAAATGAATAAGTTCCAAGACTACCACAATTACTCTATGATTGATGAAACTGAATTGTTTTTTATATAAAGTTTATGAGTATAGTAGTTTTGTTTCTTTCTTGGTCTCTTTAAGTATATATTATATGTTCAAAATAAAGCGATTTCTTTTATTTTGATAGCGAAGAAGATTTTTTAAGGATTTTTATTTGTGGGAAAAATTTTTTCATTTTATAGGTAGATTCTGCACTTCTGCCCAGTACCTAATGATCGTTTATAACCCTGTTTAATCAACCTGAATAGATATCTGTCAAAAAATCTACTAAATCCAAATAATTTTGATGATATTTTTTATCGAAATAAAAAAAATTTTAATAGAACAAATAGTAATTACTTTCTGAGTTGTTTTACCACTCCGAATAACGTCAAATACTTATTGAACACTTGTATGTCCAACAAAATTTTCTCTATGGGACATAACTAAAACGTCATAACTTTTTTTTTCACACTTTAAAAACAATTATAAACATACAAGCAACTTTCAATGATGAAAATTTATTAAATTCAAAATTTTCACGTTTTAAGGCCAAGCATGCCATATTTGAATTAGATAAATAAAGACATTGAAGAAGACGTATAGCAAGATTTTCATATTCACTAGAATATGAAAAGAAAAACAAAAAATAATTAAAATCCAATTGAAAATTCAAATAAATTCTATTAAACAAAATTGAGGAAACATCTATCAAGACAAAAATCGTCTTTTATTTTAAAGATATTTCTCGTATACTTGATTAAATTCAACATAGAATTTATATTCTTTAAAATAAAATCATTTATTTTTCTTACTCAGCATGGTTTCTTAATTTTTGTACAGTAACAATTTCTGTTGAACTTTTTTTTGCATATGAATCAGCTGCACGACGATAGACAAGTGCATCACATAATCGATCCTAATATAAAACAAAAAAAAAAAAAGAAATAAAGTACAAACAATATTTTTTTTCATAGAATCCAAAATCAAGCAATATTTTCAATTGCTACAGGGTGGTCAAAAAAAAGAAGCTTATCTCTTTAAGAAATGTAATTTCTACAATTATAAGATTTAGTTTTTTAATCAATTTCTTTTGGATATTAGTAAAATACGTTCTGATCTAAAGATTCCAACAAATAAATGTTCGAAAAAATAACGTTAGATGAAGTTGTGGTAAATGGTTAATGGTTCTAGACAGTTCAAAATATGTAACAGAGTTACATTTGACTTCATTTTCCAAACATTTATTTTGTTGAAATTTTGACTCAGAGTGGGGTGTAGTAGACTTAGAATTTCAATTTCTATCGACTGGTATATGTCTCAAGTAACACGGTGCTTAAAGTGGGTCAGAGCGTATTTTACTAATATTCATTTCTTTTACAATAGATAAAGCTGAAAAGCATTACTAAATAGAACTGTTTTTCTTTTGAACATATTCCATTGTAAGTAGAGACAAAGAAGAAATTCATTGCAGAACGAAATCATACTTGCTAAATTTTGATCTTTTGTAAAAATTCAATAAAGAAACGGTATTATGACCTGAGATTTTCAGGCTATATTCCTAGACGTTCACAAGCTAAGTATACATATAAAATATTTTGCATTATTGCTAAATTTCTACTATTACTAAAATACACGTATAAATTTTGGTATTTCATTATTTGAATTTATTTTCGTTACGATCAATTCTATGATGTAGATAGAGCGTTTCAATAGCTACAAAAATATGTCTAAATTATTGATAAATTTTAGTTTCATAATGAGGAACAAAATACAACATAAGAATTGTAACAGATTGTGATAAAGGTATATCACATTAGCTAAATATTGTTTTCTTGTTATTTGAATAATACGTTGAGCAACTGAATCTTAAAAATAAAAACATAATAGATAAAATTCAGTCTTATTTTCTTTCTTTTTTTTTTTTCTTACATGTCGAAGTTTACAAAATAACCTTTGAGCATCTTGATCATTACATAATGTATTTCGTCCTAAAATCAAAAAGAAAAACAATTCTAAATTTATTCAAGGCCCTCTTCAAAAACCGATCTCAGTCCAGGAACGTTCAAATGGCATGAAGTTTTCAGAATCTGTTTGGACTATAGTGGATAAGCTATGGTAAAATTTTCAGCCCGATATCATGATGTTTGAGGGAGACATTGACCAAACAAGGGTAAAAAAAAAGTCATCTCATTTCAACCGTTAAGCAAGGTCGAAACCGATCATGACTGATTAAAAATATATTATTTTGTAGTTATTTCGATGCAGCAGTAAAATAATATTATCAAAATAATAATTGTTTACCAGAAACACGAGTTACTTTTTTTCAATATGATTTTAATCAATAAAAAAATCTATATATATTTGTTATTGATTTAATTAGTTGTTCTTTATCAAGATGGCGTTAGTCATGATCAGTAATCAATTGTTGCTCAACATGAATTATCACAAATAATCGAAACATTTCCAAAGATAAACTATGGTTATGAGCGAAAACTAACTGTCGTTATTGTAAAACAAACGTGATAATGCTCGATTTTTTCAACAAGAAGATCGTTATGTAGAAAATTCTCAACCGGGAACTATTATTGATCATACTGTTAGAAGTATAAATTATGAAAAAAAAAACGAATGTTTATATTGATATTTGTTTTTGTTAAGGGTGCATGGTATGATTTCAATTTAATCTGAGAATGTGCTCGACAAGGAACAGTTGCACCAAGACATGATATAAGTATGGTTTAATTGTTTTTTTGTTGTTTTTTATTAATGAAAATAAAATATATTATTTTCAAGTGTTATTTTCGATTGAACAAATTAAAAAGTTAATCATATCGAACGATTAACATATTAATTGTAAATAATGATTGATTGATTAATTGATTTTTTATTTTCCTAATGATTAAAATATTTTATTCAAGATCCCATCCGTGTATTAGAATTGCTCAGGAAGAGTTCGAGTAGCAGATGAATAAATTTTTATATTTAATATATTAAAATCATTGTAAATATAATACTTTCTTTTACCTGTTCGTCAATATTATTTGTAACAATCTCATTTTCAAAAACAAAAAATAAACGAGCTTCTTTTTTTTATTTAATTGTTTTTCTTCTATTTCTTTTTTTATTTTTCTAATTCTTCTAAAAGACAAAAACCAAAAAATTCTTTGTCTCTTATTTCATTCTGATAAGAATATAGAAAATAATAATTCCTATAATAAAATTATAATTAGATAAAAATAAGAGAAAAATAATATTTAGATGAAATCAATCTATTAAACAATAATTGATTGGAGAGAATTAATTCAGAGAAATATTCATTTATTACAGTGAGATCATGTGTTAGGAAGTTTTGAACAAATACATTGTCAAACAACTGATATTCCACCAAAAGAAGAATGATCAGTTGATCTTAGTGGAAAAGTAACACCAATCAAATAAAGTTATCATTATGGAATTTTTTGATAGAACAGATTATTTATATCAATGAAAAATAATTCATATTAGCGTTTTTCTTTTAATATGATCTTTTTTCTTTTAATTAAAATTAAAATTTTTATAGGATGTTGGTGATATGTTGATGAATTACGTTTAAAAAGTAATGCAGACTTACATAAATAATGGTAATAAATATAAAAAAAACACGAGGAAAATTTTCTAATGTTTAATCATTGTTATATAGATATGTTCTATCGAAAGAACTAGATCGTTTATTAATGTATGGAAGAAGAATATCGATATGAACATGAATTATTTCCTAGTTGAGAACGTATTGATAAAGTAAATAATTTATTATTTATCTGTTATTTTTCTTTGAAGAAATAAACCCATGTTACTTTTCATCCTTCTCAGTTAATGTATTCTTTCAATTGAATATTTCTTCTTCTTTTATTTTTAGATGAAAAAGAATTTTTGATATCGAATAAATTAACTTTTTCATCTTATTTGTTCTAAAAGTATCCAATTCTAAAAAATTAAATGAAAAAATTAATTTTTAGACATTTAATTTCTTCGATTATTTTCCATCAATGACGGTTAATCATAATGAAATATCTTCAACACCAAATACTTTTTTTTGAAATATCTCCTGATTTTGACTTCGACCATTATCGTTTTGATCAATTGATTAAAATAAGCGAGAAAAGAATATTCAAAAAAAATCATCAATATGATATTTATTTATCTATTTTAAAGGATATTGATGAAGAAAATAATATTATTATTTCTATTAGTAATCAATTTCATCAGTATTTTATTTACATTTTAATATATATATATTTGTTTGAATTAAAGATATACACGATGATCCTTTAGTTCGAAGATTCATTACTCATATTGAAAATAATCCATTAAATTCATAAATAGATGAATTATGTTTGTATATTAATTGAATTTTTCTCTTTAACATACGATTTTATTATGTATCATAATAGATTTATTGTCTCTTAATTATTCTGTAATATTATTTACTAATAATAAAATTGACTTATCATCAATAATCAGTTGTAGGATTATTTTTGCAATATTTTATTATTAAAATCTAATTATTGATCTTTTTTAATAAGATGTATTAAACAATTGTCAATCTTCTATTAATAAATCTCTATCACTTATTGAAAAAAAGTAAGCATTTGGATTATTTTTATTCTTTATCTTCCTATAATTTGTCTTTAGTCGTTATCTTTTATAATAGTGATCGTTTCCATTAAATTAAAAATAATATTAGTAGAAGGTTTTCTTAAATTGACATCGACAAAGAAATATTTTTAAAAGAAAACATCGTTTTTTAAATATACTATTTCGTTAGTAAAACAGTTCAAGTTCAAGTGAAATTAATATAATCCCAAAATGATTTGAGCTTATAAATTTTTTTTATTGCAGTATCAAATTCACGAGACCTATGCTACTGAGATTGAAGTTCGTATTGAATTTTTATAAGAAATCTCTATCTTCACAATAATCCTAAAGAAAATGATCAATAGAAAATTTCATAGCAGTTTCACATTGCTTCAAATGTTATTTATTCAACGAAAGATATTTTTCAAATAAAGAATTATGTCTATTAATATAAGATAGTTCATATCTTATTAGCAAGGACGGTAGAAACAGTACAATATATAAATCATATAAATGATCGAGTATAAGTCAAAAAAGTAACTATTGCACAAAGGAACTGTCATCTTTTTATGGTACTAGGATTTTTTTTAAAACTGCATCAATGTTCTGATATTATTCTTTTCTTACATCAAGTTCAGTAAATAGTATTAAGTAATGCAAACTGATGATTTATCGATTAGAATTGTTGGGAGAGATGGAATAGGTATAATTCACACAAGCTCTTTTAAGAAGATCGTACTGAGCTCTTACGGATCAGTGGCATAGCGCAGAAAAACTAATACTTTATTTCATAACTCTTTCTTCCCATGTAAACACGAAACGCAATACCGATGTGTTGAAACACGGTTTGACAATAAAACGTGTTGAGCCGCAGTCACAAACGTTTTTACGACGCATGCAAACACAATTTGATATGAAACGCATTAACACGCAGTTTAAAAAAATGAAACGCGTCCGGGAGCAGATTTTCTATACAACGTGTTTAAACGCAATTAGAAAAAAACTGAACCGCCTCTCAACGCGTGTCTGAATAACATTTAACGCGTTTGAATACATTTCATCTACTAACTGCATTCAAATGCATCTCAAATATTTTTTCAGTCACGTTGGAATGCGATCATATTTCTCAGCGCGTTTCAGACGCGATTTTACTCCAAAATTATTGCTCTAGGAGGATTAACCGCGTCATTGAAATCGTCGGTTTACCTATATTTTATTTATCTAAAACTTCGTTGGACTTTTAATAAAGAATGTTCAGATGACGTTAAAATAGACAAAAATTTAATTAAACATAAGGGTGTGGGTCAAGGTCTGAGTGTGGGTGTATGTGACTGTAACTGGGAAATTAATAATTTCAACACCCACACCCACATTCACACCCCACCCACACCCCACACCCACACCCTTATAACGTCGTCGACCGGTGTAACTTCGATACGACATATATATATAAAACAAGAGTAAATTTGATTCGTCAAATGAATTTAATCAATAGTGTGATTTTTTAACAGATAAATACCACTATACAGAAGATGTATTTTTCGTTCTAAAAGACGCAACGTTTAAATTAGAACGTGTTTAGTTGCTCAAACATTTATTAAAATGCATTAAACTATCGTTATAAAAACTATTTGCATGAGACAAACCTAAAATTATGATCTTATAAGATCATGTAACATCTTACAAGATTCGGATCATGAAACTTTGCAAGATCCTTATAGTAAGAAGTATATTAAATCTTACAGTAAGATATTTGTATGATCCTGTAAGATCGTACAGCGTGTGGATGTGGGGTGTGAGGTGAGGGTGCGTTGTTAAGTGTTGGTGTCGATATAGGTATAGTTAATTTGAAAATCCATACCTGCACACATACCAACACCCACAACCAGATCCTCACTCAAACCTACACACACCCTCATGAGTCCAACACTGGCATTATAGTTTCAGATTTTCTGGTATACTGACGAGTGACCGAATCAGTACCAGTAGCGTTCGTAAAAAATCCAGACTGACTCTATCTCTGTCTGTCAGCTCGAAAACTCGAGAATCAGATCGAAAGTCATCATTGACATCTTCTGTTCTTCCATAAAAATGCTTGGTCCATATTACAACTATTCTATATGGTGAAACATTAAGTTCCAATATTGTTTTAAGTTTCTCGTGAATTGTCTTTGCATCTATTCTAAAAATAGGCCAAATGTTGATATAGTATCGATCGAATTCATGATCCATTTTTCAAAAATATCTTTTGTTGAAATTGGATTTTATCTGAAAGAAAATAGAACTAAATTGAAAATAGATTTATTATATACATATTATTATAGGCAAGACATTCTACTATTTATTTATGCAACTGGCTCTTAAATGTTTACTAGTTTATAAAGTTACCAACAAAGTATTAACTAACGAAACTCAACGTTCTGTATTGGGAATACATAACTTTACTGTAGAGTTCACGACATCTATTTAAAATCAAAGAATTTTTTTAACGAACAACGCAGAGGTATTTCTATCATAACAATATTTTCTATGCCATCGTGCTTTACGCTATTGTATAAATTATTGATTCAAACTAAGATCGTGTTTTTTTTTCTTTTATTATAAGGACATACAAAAAAATTTGATTCATATGGCTGCATCAGCTTTAACAGTACTCGAACCAAAGTCCTTAGTTCGTCCAACACATTGGTCAAAAGAAGTTGAAAATGCTTATCGTTTTCAATTAGCTGGTTATCGTGATGAACTTGAATATAAACGAGTTCGACAAGTAGCTGAGGTCATTGATTATTTTAACATTTCATTCTTAGAAATTCTATTATTTTTATTTAACAGATTGATGTATGGCCTGATAGTGGTTTTGTAAAAAAATTGCAACGTCGAAAAGATGGATTTTTTTATTATTTTGATAAACTTCGTGAATGTCCAGATAAAGAAATAAATAAATGTAAAATATATTCATATTAAAAATAAAAAGAGATCTATCGTAATTCATATTAAACGATGACTCTATATTTATAAAATCTTCTAAGTTCTTTGTAATTTATTTTTGCACAAATTTTTTTTTACGAAATATTTATTTTAGGTTTTTCTTTTTTGTTTTAAATCCTTTTAAAATATATCGCATTTTAAAAAAGAATGAAAGAAACTAACTGATCAATGTGGGATGTATTTTCAATTATGTATTTAATCGAACTTGTCAACATCTACTTGAAAGAAGTTGTTTTTTGGCAATCGATCGCATTTCAATTACGATTCATGAGAAAAGCAAACGCGCCGCCCAAAAAATAATTGAATTCGCTTTTGATTAATTTTCAGCGTACACTTTTTCAAATTACTTAATTTGATCCGTTGTTCAAGCTAATAGAATTGTTTTAATATATGGTATCTTTGACACACATGTAATGACGTTGTTACATTTAGAAAAATGTATTAAAATGATTTCAATCATTTACTTTTCGTTTTTCTTTCACTGTTTGCACAATCTGTTTAACTTTTAAATTCGTAAGAATAACTTTATTGCAAACATTGTTAATAGTGAGATATATAGGAGAAAAATGTTTCGTGTATTGTACAAGTATGGAAGGCTCAAGGTGAATTTATAAAGGAGGAATAAACTTTTTTAATGAGCTCATTTTGTCTTCTCTAAATAGAAGACAGACCAATAGTAAAACCTTTTCTCGTTTGCATTAAATTTTTCTCAACAACATTTTACTGAGAAGCTTTAGTATTAACTCATCCCACAGTGAATGTGGTGCTTCAAACTAGTGTAAAAGTTTTTGTATTGAAAAAGGGTTTAGTCATAAGAATTTTTTGTTTTGCTATTAGCTTCTGTTCATTTTATTCTCACCCTTTTTTTTCAAAAAGAAAAACTTAGGCGTATCAATCAGTGGTAAAAGTGCAGATGTTGTCTCTCAAACTGTTTATTTAGCTATTTAATATTAGCAGCTAGTTGATCTTTTCTCTGATTGTGAAGAAACAAGTAAGTTTGTTTTGTTTTTCAGATAGTATAGATTTTAAACTTGTTAACGAGTAAACGAAAAAGAAAAAAATCGAATATCTAATGAAAAACCTATTCTTTTATTAGTAACAAATACTACAGAAAGATCAATTGTTGTATTTCATCTATTCAATGTTGATTATCCTTAGCAGAAAAACTCGCAGTACGATTATTCTTTGTATCCAAAACTTTTCGAACGAGGATAATTATTTCGTATTCCTAATGTGTTGAGACTAGAGGTCATGTATGTCTTATACGGTCGGTTTTCCATCATTTTAGTTGAACGAACAAGTTTTGATACATAAAGTTACACGAAAAAAAAAGTGGCCCCTGTTTCTCAGACATTGCAGGTTTAATCAAGCTGAAACTTCTTTTCGCAAATACTAGACGTTGTTTAGAATGCCTCCTTTTTTTTTGTTTTGAAAAAACATGTATTTTTGGAAGTACACTGAATATTGTAATCTTTTATTGGAATGAAAGGACACTTTAAAAAAGGTAGGCATATCAAGCAATGTCTAATTTATGTAAAAAAGGGCTTCAACTCTATCGAACTTGTTCTGACTGAGAAAACAAGATGACATTTAACCCTTGCGATTCAAATATTTCTTGAAAGAAAGTATTTGGAAATTTGAAGTCTACGACAACTTTTGCTCTTAGCATCGAAACCTATCTACACTGAAATTTTTCAATATTTCTGACGTGTCGTTCTTCAGAAAATCCGGAAAAGAGGGAGGCTTAAATAGTCTCAGACTGGAGAGACATGACAAGAAATGCATTGATGAGAATAGTAATCAACAATAGTAATTATAAAAAGAATAGTATACTTATTGAATAGAATTCATAAATTTCATTCTATTTTCTTAGATAAAGTGTTTTTTTTTCGTCGATTAAAAATTAAATTTATGCTTAAAATAAAAATATGTGATTTTTTTTCACAAATAATTTTGAAATTTATAGGTTTCTTGTTAAACTGAATTTTTCATGATTAGAATTCAATATGATTGTCTCGATAGATTTTATAAATAGAAAAAATATTTTTTTAAACGCTTTGTTTTTTACTCGATTATTCACCATATTAATCATAATGCAATTTAAATATTAAATGATTTTTGAATCCTAGAAACAATATTTGAGTTAATCTTAAACTAGAATATAAGAAGATAATAACAAATCATTTATTTCATTGTGTTTCTTATAAATGTTACCGATGAGAAGTATAATTCAAGAGAGATGACCATGAAAAAAAATGAGTATTGAAGAAACTTTTTAGATGGGATTCAAATAAATTCTAAAATAGTTCTTTCTCGGTCGGAAACTTTTCCAAAACAAATTTCAAACGAATAATCCAAGATAAACATTTTTTTATAAAACAATCTTTTATCGAATCTTTATGTAATTTCATGTTTTAGTTCTTCAATAACAGTATCTTTCGATGCAACTTTTTCCGACTTAGTATCGTAACCAAACTTGTTTTAAACCGAATAGTTGATGAGTTTAAATTTGAATTATTTAGTGGTCAATGTTTCTTGTTGATGAATCGAGAAAACATTATTCTGACGTCGTTATTATGTTAACTGAATAATATGAGGTCTCGCATTGTTCTGATGAAATTTCCAATCTATTCTGAAGATTTCATATACATGTTTTATTTATACTTAAATAATGTATTTACTAGTATCACTCAATTAACGCAATAATAATGTCAAAACAACACGTCTTCGTGTTATCAACAAAAAATATTTTTCACTGCATAATTCACATTTTTATTCTTAGATCATTTAACTTGAGATGATATTGGTTATTCTAATGAATGTGAGAAAATAGCATCAAAAGATATTCTTATTGAAGAACTAAAACGTGAAATCACATAAAAATTCTACAAAATGTTGTTTTACAAACCTGTTTTATCGTGAACTGTTTGTATGAAGCTTGCTTTAGAAAATAATGAATGTTATTTAGATTTACAAAACACATACCGATCTATAAAGAATTAAAAGATGAATTCTTTGAATAAAAACTAAAGTCTAAGCAAAAGAATATTAAAAGAAATATAATTGAATCTCTGAGACATTCGATATTTTTAATAGTATTGTCGAAAAAACTTTCCGATTCATAATAATTAAATATATTAATAAAATTTTTCAATTATATTCTAGATATAAAATGATTCCTTCGACATAATTCTTTAGTGTGCATATATTTTGAATTATACATAGTAAATTTTAATCAAATGTAAGACGATGACGTTTTGGTTTTGTGACACATGGAATGATTGAATTTTATTTTTAATATAAAATTACATATTCAAATTATTCTGAAAACGAACAAACATTTGTTTTATTATTTTTTAATAAATTTCTTTCATTCTTAGTGTCTGTCTGCATGCATGTTAGTAGATGTTGATGACAAATTTATTTGTACGGCACATCGTTAATAATAAATTTAAAGTAATACATCATCATCCACTCCCATTTTGTTCGTTTGTTTTTTTTTCCTATGATGAAGTAAATTAAAATAGTCAATAGCTCTAATTAATAATCTAACGTATAGACTCGTTTTTCAGCTTTACGTAGTTCAAAGGTAGACGAGAAAATTTTTAAATTCCATTTTACACCTTTTTTTTTTGCACTCTCTTTCGTTGACTGTGCTTCATATTTTTGTAACTACCTTTTTTTTTTTCTCTTTTTTATTTATTTTGTTCATTGTTAAAGTTTGATCGTCAAAAATTGTAGATTTCAATCAACTGCTAGATTTTAAAATTGTTAAATATAAACAAGAAAAATGGCAACAAGTGATATGGACTTTTATGATACATCATTTCGTCGTGTACCAATGAATTCAGCAACAACACACAAAGATTGTTTTGATTATAATTCGACATTAACATCATCAACTTACAATATGTGGCCTGGACAATTAAAACGAACTATGACAACAACATATATCGATGGAACTAGAATGCTCGGTCATGATGATCGTTCGTATAATGCAAAAGATTTATTTCCAAAAGGAAAAAGTCGACAAAAACCGTTAACTGCATCAGAAAAGAAAATTGTAATTATTGTTTATAATTAAAAATGACTTTTTTTTTTTTAATTTAATTTATTTTTTTTTCTAATTAGAGTGCACGTGATGCATACATGTCATTATTACCAATAAACGCATCAGCTGTTCGAGCAATAAAAGCTCGTTCACCTCTATCAATGACAACAGGAAAACAATATTCAAGTTTACCTGAAGTATCACATAAAAGTGCTAATATTCGAAATAAACGTTTTCCAAGTGCTATTATATTAGATGAAAGTAGTCAATCAAAATTATATGCTCGTTGTGCTACAACAAATGTAAGCGGTGTTTGGGCACGACGATATAAATCTATAACTACATCACAAACATTCAGTGATTTATTACGTGATCAAGAATATACAGATAAAATCATACTTAAAAAACGTTCATATCAACAATTACTTACATTTTCATCATCATCATCATCGTCATCACTTACTTGTTCATTAATTAAACGTAAACGAGATCAAGCTTAATATTAAAAATAAAGTCTTATTTTTCTTTTTCTTTGATTTTATTTAAAAGTGTGTGTGTGTGTGTGTGTGTGTTTTATATTTTTAATAAATGAAAATAATGCGGGAGAGAATATATATATTTATATATGTATATATTGTTTGTTTGTATGTTTTTATTTATTTAAATCACGTCGACGATAATAACAGATACAATTGAGTCCAATGGGACTAATTCTCAAATACAAATTAATGATGATTCATATGGTACTGAAGAAGAAGAATATCATGAACTTGATATGACTGGTCGTATTATAGCTGATAATTATCGAATTGAATCAAAATTAGGTGCTGGATCATTTGGACAAGTTTATTTATGTGAACATATTCATACACATGAACAATGGGCAATGAAAATAGAATCACAGATTATGAATAATAATCCTCAATTATCAATTGAAGTAAATGAAATTGAATTATATTTTCCCTATTTTAATTTAAATATTTTATTTAATAGTATAAAATCTATACAATACTTCAAGGTGGTAAAGGTTTTCCAAAAATTGATTATTATGGTAGTGAAGGAACATATGATATTCTTATTATTGAATTATTAGGTCCATCATTAGAAGATTTATTTAATTATTGTAATAGAAAATTTACACTAAAAACAGCATTAATGCTTGTTGATCAAATGATTTCAAGAATTGAATATGTTCATACATGTCATCTTATTCATCGTGATATCAAACCGGGTTAAGAGAGTTTGATTGATTTATTTTTTGTTTTTCTTTATAATTAAAATATGATTAAATTATATTTTAGATAATTTTTTAATGGGTGTTAAATCTATGGGTAATACTGTTTATATAATCGACTTTGGTCTTTCAAAACGATATAGAGATCCTAAATCGCTTGTACACATACCTTGGAAAAGTAATAAAAGTCTAACAGGTATAGAAGTATTTTTGGAATGAATCGTAAGATAAAAATATAAGTTATTCAATTGACATTTTAGCTGTTTTGTGATTGTTTCAAAAGAATTCTCACTATCGGTTGTTTGTAAAATAAAATGAGCAAAAAGATGTTTTAGCATTATAGAGAAATAACTCAGTGGAGTCCAGACAATAATTGATAATCTATTCAAAGACAAGGAGCATTAGATTATGAGTATTTATATGAATGTTTAGAAAAATATTCTATATTGAGCATTTAAGTTCCTAGATTAAGATTTGATTAAGATATCGAAATTTTTTCTTCGAGTTTTCAAGGTTTCGGAAAACTCGTATTTTAGAATTTCGATCTGAAATTTCACACACACAAAGAACTCAACTATTAGTCTAGCTTCCAAAAACAAAAATTCAAAAATTTCGAAGAAAATCTCTTTAAGATATAGACTCTTCTACATGGATAGTATATATATGCCATGCATGTTTTGAAAGTTCCATGTCTCGCAGAGATTTTCTTCAAAATTTTTTAATGAAAACTAAACTAATTAGATTCTCTATATGCGCAAAGCTTCAGTTTTTCGAAAATGTGAGACTCGAAAAAGAAATCTATAGTCCAATAAAATCTCAATAGAAATTCGAAACTCTGTAAGGCTTTATTAGAACACCATTTAGTATCTGCAAGCAAAAAAATCGAAAGGAACATCGAAAAGGTTCCTTCGTAACTCGAAAATCATGAAGACAAATAGTCTTGTAAAAAATCAAAGCCAAATGAACAGTAGGTATGTCGTGTTTTCCTTGAAACGGCACATATATTTGAAATATACTCGTTTGCTAGTCAGTTTTTATGTTTTTTGTATTTGACCCATTGCGAAATATTAGGTACTGCTCGATATGCATCAATAAATGCTCATAAAGGTAGTGAACAATCACGTCGTGATGATTTAGAAGCTATTAGTTATGTATTCATGTATTTTATAATGGGTACATTACCATGGCAAGGTTTACAAGCAACAGCAAGAAAATCTAAATTTGAACGTATTGCTGAAATGAAAATGAAAATGACATCTGAACAAATTTGTAAAAATTATCCAAAAGAATGTGTTTTATTTCTTGATTATTGTCGTACACTTATATTTGATAATCGACCTGATTATAATTATTTAAGACATTTATTTCGCCATTTACTTTATCAAAAAGGTGATCAATATGATTATGAATATGATTGGATTATTATACATAGAAATAAACAATTATCTACAATACACACAATGAGTCCTATCGAGGGTGAAACTTCTCTTATATCTGAACAGCAATAATATTTATTTTATGTTCAATAAAAAAAAAACTATCACTAGTTAGATATTAATCTTTGGCAGTAGTTCACAAAATCAAGCATTGTTATATCAGAATTTTTATACTGTTGAGCTTTTGTTAATATTTATATTCTATAAAATTAATAAACATTACCAATCAACATATACGAGACCGGAATTTGAAACTACAGTGGACGTCAAAAGTCTCGTACCACTTTTTTGTCTTCAGTCGTGTATTTAAACTACACAACATTAATCAAATTCAATTATATGTTTGGATAGCAGAGATCGAGTACTATATACAGGTTGATTACGTTATTTTTAATAGTTTTGTATAGTCTACTATATCTAAGTACAATATCGGAAATTTCTTATTTCGATACAGTTGGATAGAGCATCAACTGCTCTATCAAACCATATGGTTTCGATTTTATTTCCTTTGGCTGCACTCCAAAAATTAATAAGTTACAAATGAAGTCAAAAAAAATTTTTTTAGAAAATTGCTGGGACAGAATGAATGACCATATTTTGAACTTTGCTTTTATAGCATCTAATAGGCTTTATTAAAAACGAAACATACCAGAAGATGCGCCGTGAAAAGCTCTACAATTTACATAAGATCGCTTGTTTTACTTCTACTCTTTTTGTTTTCAAAATGGACAAAAATCTGATCGATCAAATGTGGCCTGTGCGAGTATTGGTGTCACAGCGTTTTTGAAATTTCTTTTAAAGCAATTTCAATAAGCTTTACTATGTAATTTGTAGAGCTTTTCACGCTGATTCTTTTGGTGCGTATAGCTTTTTTAAGAAGACATAATAGGTGATAACAATATTAAAGCGTAAAAGGACATATCTTTTTCGTGAAAAAAAAACGATTTTTTCAACGGAGAAATTAGAATTTAGTCCGTTTGAAGACAAAAAAAGTGAGGCGGTCTTATGTAAATTGTAGAGCTTTTCACGGTGCATCTTCTGGTATATTTTGTTTTTTTAATAAAACCTATTAGATGATGTAAAAACGAACTACAAAATTTGTACTTTCTAAAAACTTTTTTTTGACTTCATTTGTAACTTATTAATTTTTGGAGTGCAGCCAAAAGAAATAAAATCGAAACCATATGGTTCGATAGAGCAGTTGATGCGCTATCCAACTGTATCGAAATAAGAAATTCCCGATGTTGTACTTAGATACAGTAGACTGCACAAAACTATTAAAAATAACGTAATCGACCTGTACTTTAAACGAATTGAACTAAAGAGGAAGGCTATAACTGACATCGAGAGGAAAAAAACCGTTCAATATATGATGTACACGTGTTATCGGAAATACTATTAAGCATCATACAAGCAGTCTGTATATGAAAAATAAAACTATTCAAAATCATGACAACAACCTCAAAAAAAAATTTTTCTTCACACTTGTTTGAGATTGATCAAAATTTTGGGCTAGAGCCAGAGAAACTAACAAACAAATTATATGATTTGATAGAAGAGCTGATGCTCTATCCAATTGTTCAAATAAAAAAAAATCGATGTATTGCATAAATACAGCAAACGACACAAAACTATTAAAAATAACGTAATCAACCTGTATATACATCTGTTCAATTCGAAAACCCTTGAATATGAAATACAATAAGAAAAACAAACGCCAGTACTACGAAAAAAAGTTATATAAAAAAAGACAACATGATAATAAAAATGTTTGGAAGGCTTTTTGCTGTGCAATAGGAATTTCTTTATACGGCTTTTGTAGAGCTTTTGACGATGCATCTTTTGAAAAAAAAATCAAGATGCTATCATTTTCTTAAGCCGAGATACATGCAAAATATAACAGTCTTCCAAACATTTTTATTATGTTAACCCTTTCAATACCGACATTTTCTCTCATTTTATAAGGTGCACCAAACGTAAAAGTGTAGCAAAAAAAATAGTGTTTATGTTTAACATATCATTCGATAGAGCTCGTCGAGCTGATTCCGAATATGTATATTTTTTTGTGTTTTGGTTACGTTTTGCGTCTGAAAACCTAAAAATACTAGAAAATCCGAACATAGCCAATCCATGACCACTCCCGTAAAGAAGCGAAAATTTCGTCCTTTTCGATGTGTTAATTTTTTTCTAAACCGAGCTATTTAAATTTATCGTTTCAAACTGAGTCTTTTGGTATAATTTGGTGATATTTTTGAATATTTTTTGGTGTAGTTATTGTCTTCCCAAAGCTTAATCGTTAGTATAGCGATACCTTCATCTTGCAAATCTATGTAGTCTTTTATTTCAAAACATTTTCTCAATATTTATACATCAATTGAATCGTTATTTGACAAGGAAAAAAACTACGTATGGGTTTTAAAATTTTTTTTTCTCGGGCTGAGAAATAGAGCTTTTACTAAATCAAAAGCGACTAGGCTGAAATTCTGCCCTGAATCGTCATTTTTTTCAACCAAACTTCATTAAATTGTGAAACAAATACCATATTCGAAATCAGCATAAAAAGCTGAGTTAATACATGTATTATTCGAAGCTTTTCTGAAACTTTTGTTTTTCGTCCAAAAATTTGGCCCCTGGTCCCCCTCAGGGATACTCGAAAAATACATTACATGAAGTCATCATCTTATTGCCATGAGAATACTCAGTGAACCAATCTAAGTTATTAGATGCCGAACTAGGAGATTTTTAGAAACGAAAAGCAGGATTTTTATTGCATTTCTTTTTCATGGTATTCCTGAGGGGGACCAGGGGCCAAATTTTTGGACGAAAAACAAAAGTTTCAGAAAAGCTTCGAATAATACATGTATTAACTCAGCTTTTTATGCTNGACAATTCTAATTATTCTTCGTTCACTTTAGCTCTATCATGATCACTTTTGATTAATATTTTTTATTGATCCGTTTTCCCAATAAAAGTCATATGCCTTAGAATAGTCAATCGTTTATCGTTAACATATACATCTTTCAGAATTTTTAATTTATTTTATTTTATTGCAATTGGTTATTTAAAAAAAAAGAATTAATTGAGAAGGATGCAACGAACCGAACGAAAAAAAATTGTTCTGGGCCGAACAGAACGCGACAAAATGTTCTGCGACGAAGTGATCGTGCGACGAAATGTACTAGTACCCTCTATCATGGATTATTTTTTCATTTTGAGCATAAGAAGAAACCATCAAAAGAAGTCAATAGGGTTTGTTCTTACAGATTTTTGTAGAGCATTTCACGGCGCATCTTTTGAAATAAAAACCAAGATTTTATCATTTGTCTTTGCAGAGATATTCACAAAACAAACTATGTTGGAAACATTTTTGGAACACCGGATATTCCACAGTGTTTAATATTTTGATTATAATACCGTCATTTCTCAATGAAATTCAAAATATTTTTTTACCAAAATGATCAGCGAAAAAAGCTCTGCAAAGTCTGTTAAAATGATAAGTTTTCTGAATACTTTGAGTTTTTTATGAGTGACTGCCTATAAAAGTATCCTATAACAACAATATCATTTTGCCTTTTTTAATATAATTTTTTTCTTAGTACTGGAGTTTGTTTTTCTTATTGTATTTCATATTCAAGGGTTTTTTGAATTGAACAGATGTGTATATATAGTACTCGATCTCTGCTATCCAAACATATAATTGAATTGAATTAATATTGTGTAGTTTAAATACACCACTCAAAACAAAAAAGTGGTGCGAGACTTTCGACGTCCACTGTATATGATATACTTAGCTCTGCGATTTTTCAAGTAAAGTTTATTGTACATCATTAATTAATTTATTATTTTTATGCTAATTTCTTGCAATACAGACAAAAAGAAAACATTATGATAAACAAATTCTCTGATTGCATTTGTTCCCTGAACAATGGCTTCATCATCGTTAGACAACCTTACTTTTTTCGTTTGTGAATATGACTATAATAAATCCTTTGATAATACAAAATTAAAAACATGATTTTATCTATTTTTTCTTTCAGTTGTTAGTCACGTTCTTTTCTCAGTAATTCTCGCACGTGAGTACACATGTGCCGGATCAAGCCCATTGAGGAAAGGTTAGAAAAACCGAGACCAGGAACATACTAGATTCACTGTAGCTACAATTAGAACTACTCAACAAGAATCTACGGAAACTGGATCGAGCGCAAAATATCTGAGTGTCGTACATGTCGAATTACGAATCAATCTAATTAGAATATATTTTGAATTATTTCAAATTATATTAAAATAACATAGATGAAAATTTTTATTTTTAACACAAATAAAACAAAAATACTCGTGTGACTTTTTTCTCTTGAAGGTAATGTGAAAGAAGATTCTTTACAAAGATTTTGAAGATAAGAATCAATCTGATAATACTCTCTTTTTAAATTAATATCAGCATTTTTAAAATTTTCATATTAATTATAAAACGAGATCTTTTAAAATTTTAAAAGATATTCATTTGATACTTATATTTAAATCTCAATATTTGTAATTATCATTGAAAAACTAAAATTAATAAAGGATGTCTGATCTAACAACAATAATATCATAAAATGTACTTTTAAACAATTATAATAAATATCCGGAAAGGACAAAAATTCTGTGACTCACTTGATTATTGAAATCATACGTTCTAAAAAAAAACATCTCTTTTTGGTTTCTATCATAAGTAATTATTTTCTTTACTGACAAATACCAGAAATATGCATTGGTTTCTATAACAATAAGAAATGTTTTGTCCTTAAATGAGTAAAAATCAATGAAAAATCTGTATGATTTCAAAATAGAGTGTTTCTTCGATTGCCTACGCAATATTAATTATTTATAAAAATTTGTTGCCGAAAAAAATCATTTATTTTCAAATATTCTTTTAGCTTCTTCTAGAACATGATATAAAAAAGATCCAATTGTGATAAATACAAACATTTCGACGCAAAATTTTCTACAATAATGTTATTCTTGGTGCTGGTCGCCTTTATTATCATGCTGGGCATGAATATTAAGCGTCAAAAGGTAAGTCTCATCATTAA